TATATATATATATATATATATATATATATATAATTATCTTTATGTTATTGTTTTGTATAAATCCATATTTTTCTTATTTCTACGCAACTAATGTAACTATTATTTAATTTATTTATTTGGGTATAGTTTCAACTACTACAAGGGGCTACTCCTACACTCTACATTTTTTCCCAAACCCTAACCTTTAAACTCTCAATCTAATTACTTTTGTATCCTTCACTACGTATTGATTGGCTAGATAATAATTTTTGCTTCTAATACATCATGCAATAATGCCACTTAATAGTGTTGAAGTTGTGTAGGCCAACGTATTGGTTGGTGTACCTGAAAGATTTCTCAAATATAAAGAATATTTGGTGCATATGCGCTTACACCATCGCATCCTCCACTTTGAAATGCGCGAACAAAGATAAACCCAATAAGGATTTGTTAAATTTATACGGGTTAAACATTTTTCTTTCGTAGTGAAAATTGAAATTAGCTTTCATTAGAAACTTTGATCTAATTTAGTCATTTATTTTTATAAATATGTGGATTATCCCTTTTAATGAATCTTTGTTAAGTTTATTTAATGTTTCAGGCGCATTTCATGATAATATTTGAGTTGTTTACATTGTTTGACATATTTTTTCTTTAATGTTAATGGAGAAATACGCTTGAAACCTCAAATAAACTTAACAAAATTTTGTTAAAATGACTAAATTCACGTAGTTTTAATGATGAGGGACTAAATGTGAAAACAAGATTGTCTAGAGACTAGGTCGTCTAACAACTCAGGTTTCAAAGTTTAACAAAATCATTAAACGAAATATCGCTTTGTATGAAAAATTATATTACAAAAAGAACGTCTAAGATAAAAATTTGAGATTTATCGATTTTTTTGTAACAACTCCTGACACCCTAAATTTAGGGTGTTACATTTGGTATTAGAGCCAGGTTTTCAAAAAAACTTTTGGGATTTTTGGGTAGTGAGCTCATCTAACTTTTTTTGTGTGACTGTGTGGATTGCATGTGTTTGTGTATGACTGTATGGAATAAAGTGATTAAATGAGTATTATTGTTGTGTATGCAAAAAGATGTATCGTAGATGACGATCACCTACCAACATCGCTGAAGTCATTGCTCGTGCTCTCGAGTAGATGATGCATGCATTACAAGGACAACATGCATGAGCTATCCCGAGGCATTGTGCCAGTATGAATGACTAATTATGTTATAATCCACCGATGTTCAACGGAAAGGCTACTCCTTATGAGGAAGATGACTAGATCTGCAACAACGAAAAGATATTTGGAGTGATAGATTGTACTGAGGAGCAGAAGTTTATGTTCTCTATTTTATGCTAGCAGGGGAGGCAGACTATTGGTGGAGGAGCATGAAGCAAGTGATGACTGTTCAAGGAGAGGAGATCAGCTAGGTGACTTTTAGGGCAAAATTTTTGTAGTGTTATTTTTCTGAAAATGTTAAATATGAAAGGGAAGCAGATTTTTTGATGCTACAACAAGGAAGCAAGACTGCGTAGGAATATGTGTCACGTTTTATGTACCTCTCTAGATTCTATACTCAAACCATGAGTGAAGAGTGGAAGTGCAAGAAGTTTGAGAGGGGTTTGTATCCTAGTTTGATGAGATTCATAGTACATTTGAGGATTAGGATATTTTCGGAGGTGGTAGAACAATCTAA